CTTACTGCCACTCTGCAAGTGGAAGATGCTCTGTTCTGGTCCCTCAGTGACTACACTCCACTTGCACCTGTTCTCCCTTCCCTGTCAGGTATTTTTGATATCTGTGTCCCATAGAGGAAATTTCTCTTCATGTCCCATCCCAAAGCCAGAATAGGAAGTGAGAAGAAATTCCTCAAAATTGAGGGGTCACCAGGGTTTTTATCAGGGTCACCAGAACTAGTGTCTCTATTGGATGATTTCCCTTCTATTCCTGTTCAGGTACCAACCCAATATTTTTGACTTGCTTTCACTCTTGGTGATAATAGTAAACAGGACAAATACAGAGGGTGAGTTTCCTTAAAGGCAACACAGACAGCAATAAAAACTTCACAGATGTACTAAACCCTCTCCACTCTGTCTAAATCTATATATACAGAACATACACTGCTCAAAAAATTAAAGGAACACTTTGAAAACACATCAGATCTCAATGGGGAAAAATATCATGCTGGATATCTATACTGATGTGGACTGGGTAATGTGTTAGGAATGTAAGGATGCCCCATCATTTGATGGAAATGAAAATTATCAACCTACAGAGGACTGAATTCAAAGACACCCCGAAAATCAAATTGAAAAAATTATGCAGCAGGCTAGTCCATTTTGCTGAAATTTCATTGCAGCAACTCAAAATGGTACTCAGTAGTTTGTATGGCCCCCACGTGCTTGTCTGCATGACTAGCAAAGTCAGGGCATGCTTCTAATGACACGATGGATGGTTATTTCCTCCCAGATCTGGACCAGGGTATCACTAAGCTCTTGGACAGTCTGAGGTGCAACCTGTCGGCGTCGGATATACCAAAATATGATATCCCAGAGGTGTTGTATTGGATTTAGGTCAGGCGAGCATGGGGGCCATTCAATGGTATCAATTCCTTCATCCTCTAGGAACTGCCTGCATACTCTGCCACATGAGGCCGGGCATTGTCGTGCACCAGGAGGAACCCAGGACCCACTGCACCAGCATAGGGTCTGACAATGGGTCCAAGGATTTCATCCTGATACCTAATGGCAGTTAGGGTGCCATTGTCTAGTCTGTAGAGGTCCGTGCATCCCTCCATGGTTATGCCTCCTCAGACTATCACTGACCCACCACCAAAATGGTCATGCTGAACGATGTTACAGGCAGCATAACGTTCTCTACTGTTTCTCCAGACTTTCATGTCTGTCACATATGCTAAGGGTGAACCTGCTCTCGCCTATGAAAAGCACAGGGTACCAGTGGTGGACCTGCCAATTCTGGTGTTCAATGGCAAATGCTGATCGAGCTCTATAGTGCCAGGCAGTGAGCACAGGGCCCACTGGAGGATGGTGGGCCCTCAGGCCACCCTCATGTTTCTGATTGTTTAGTCAGAGACATTCACACCAGTGACCTGCTGGAGGACATTTTATAGTTCTCTGGCAGGGCTCATCCTTTTCCTCCTTGCACAAAGGAGCAGATACCGGTCCTGTTTATGGGTTGAGGACCTTCTACGGCCCTGTACAGCATTCCTAGAGTAACTGCCTGTCTCCTGGAATCTCCTCCATGCTCTTGAGACTGTGCTGGGAGACACAATGCCATGTATTGATGTGCCATCATGGAGGAGTTGGACTGCCTGTGAAACCTCTGTAGCGTCCAGGTATCACCTCATGCTATCAGTGGTGACACTGACCTTAGCCAAATACAAAACTAGTGAAAAATAGTCAGAAAAGATGAGCAGAGGAAAAAATGTCAGTGGCATCCACCTGTGAAACCATTCTTGTTTGGGGGGTTGTGTCATTTTTGCCCATCTAGTGCACCTGTTGTTAATTTTTATTAACACCAAAGCAGCTGAAACTGATTTAACAACCCCCTCTGCTACTTAACTGACAAGAGCAATATCCCAGGAGCTTGACTTGATGCTATAATCTGATTAAAAAGTGTTCCTTTAATTTGTTTGAGCAGTGTATATATACAGTTGTGTCCAAAATTATTCAACCCCCACTGAAATTGAGTGTTTTGGCCAGTTTGACATTGCTTTTGATCATTCAGTCATCTTGCTTACATTTACATTAAAGAGGCACTTGTAGGTCAGACAAATATAACATAACAGTTATAATGAAATAACCACAAATGTCTTTTCTGTGCTCACAGCATTATCAGTTTTATTCAACCCCCAAGTGACATTCAATCTTAGTACTTAGTACAGCATCCTTTTACAGTTATAACAGCTTTTAAACGTGAAGCATAGCTTGACACAAGTGTCTTGCAGCGATCTACGGGTATCTTCGCCCATTCTTCATGGGCAAAGGCCTCCAGTTCAGTCACATTCTTAGGCTTGCGCACTGCAACTGCTTTCTTTAAGTCCCACCAGAGGTTCTCAATCGGATTTAAGTCTGGTGACTGCGATGGCCACTCCAAAATGTTCCAGCCTTTCCTCTGCAACCATGCTCTAGTGGACTTGGAGGTATGCTTGGGATCATTGTCCTGTTGAAAGGTCCAACGTCTCCCAAGCCTCAGGTGTGTGACGGACTGCATCACGTTTCCATCCAATATCTCCTGGTACTGAAGAGAATTCATGGTACCTTGCACACGCTGAAGCTTCCCTGTACCTGCAGAAGCAAAACAGCCCCAAAGCATGATTGACCCTCCACCATGCTTCACAGTAGGCAAGGTGTTCTTTTCATCATAGGCCTTGTTCTTCCTCCTCCAAACATAGCGTTGATCCATGGGCCCAAACAGTTCTAATTTTGTTTCATCAGTCCACAGAACACTATCCCACAACTTTTGTGGTTTGTCCACATGGCTTTTGGCATACTGCAGTCGACTCTTCTTATTCTTTGGAGACAGCAAGGGGTACGCCTGGGAGTTCTGGCACGGAGGCCTTCATTACGCAGTGTGCGTCTTATTGTCTGGGCTGAAACTTCTGTACCCACATCTGACAAATCTTTTCTCAGTTCCTCAGCAGTCACACGGGGACTTCTCTCCACTCTACGCTTCAGGTAGCGCACAGCAGTCGAAGTCAGCATCTTCTTTCTGCCACGACCAGGTAGCGTTTCAACAGTGCCCTTTGCCTTGAATTTGCGAATGATGCTTCCTAAGGTGTCTCTTGGTATGTTTAACATCTTTGCAATCTTCTTATAGCCATTGCCCTTCCTGTGAAGAGAAATCACCTCTTCTCTTGTCTTCCTGGACCATTCTCTTGCCTTCACCATGTTTGTAACCACACCAGTAAATGTCTAGAAGGAGCTGAGTATCACAGTCATTTTAAAGCTGCCTAATTGGTGCTTATTATGCTTGATTGCTGCTCGGTGACATCCACAGGTGTTTTTCAATACCTGATGGAAAGCACCTGTATGAACCTCTGTTCTTCAGAGTGGTAGTCTTTAAGGGGTTGAATAATTGTGGCAATGAAGAAACCACATAAGAACCATTTACTACTGTATTACATAAACAATTGATGTCATTTTAGTTGCATTTGGGTAGTTACAACGTCCTTGTAGGATTTGATTCTGAATACAATTCCAAATGTACACTATAGTCCCTAAACCCCTTTACAGCATTGGGGGTTGAATAATTTTGGACACAACTGTATACATATAGAGAGAGAGAGAGAGAGAGAGAGTTTAATACTTTTAAAGGTTTATACCATTATTCTTTATTGGGTAACATAGCATTCTTACATGAAATCTGGTAATGTCGAGAATAACCATAGAACCATTACAATCACTTTAACTTTCCAATAATAACATTGCAAAAATAAGCAAAACAGGGAAAAGCTAGAACCCCAAGGCAGATTTTTTCAATGATGACTGTTTCCCTGTTGTAGATTTTCCATCACTTCCTCACTGGTGTATTTGTTGCTGTGAAGCAGAATCTTCCTAATGGAACTCTGAATAGCAGAGGTTCTTTCCCATTCTATCCCAAACTGAATAAAAATGTTGTCTGAACACTTTAGAGGTATATTTATAAATGTTTTCACTGAAGATTAATTCAACTTTCACCCAATATCCACACATTTTACTAACTGGATTCAACTGTAAATGTGAAAATCCCAGATGAAAATTGTGTGAATCCTGGGTAAAAAAATGTAGAAATGTAAAGAGTGTATTACATTTTTTAGCATATGTTTAACACTTATAGTATGTCATCTATCAAGGTTGCCAGAGTGCTTTATAATTTGTTGGGTTCACCATTTTCGGTGAGTGAATGTGGTTAAGTTAAAGATGAAGATGAGGACTGATCTGCATGAAAGGGTTGTGCTGGGCTGTTTTTGATTTCTTTTCATTTTAAGTTATATTTGACCTATGCACCTTTGCAGTTTTCAAGTGGTTATTATCACCTGAATACAATATTATATCGTAAAATGCTGCAAGCTGAAGTATTAAAGAGTGGCCTATTTCTTTGGGCTTGACCTGCTTTCAGGCACATTGACAAAATCTCTCCAGGATAATGTGCTATATTAGAGTTTGAAGTGTACATAGGGCCTCAGTTTGCATATGTTTCTAGTTTTCGTAATGTACCCATAGACATATGAGCCAGTACTGATTTAAGGTGGATTGGGACATGGTTGTTTATCAGTCGGTGGTACATGACTTCCGCAGACATTCCCTAGACGACTTGAAACAAGAGTCAATTGTACCAAATTTTTTTTTTTTTTTTCGGCTGACAGCTTTTCTTCTTAGGATGCATATTTGGCAAAAATGTGATCATACATGTTATTATCGATCTACAAAATCATCATCAAGCAGTTAGTTTTCCTGACTTTTCATAGCTATGGGATTCCTAGCCGTTTGGCATCTAATCTACTCCTTGTAGGGAGATTTACATTAATAATTACTTTTAACTCCATGTTTATCTTTAACAAAGCCCTTCATAACACAATGATGATTTTGTTTATCTAAATGGCTTTTTTCCCCCTAAGTCCATAGAAAAGATTATGAAACATCCTGAAGACAATCGCAATCAAATTAAAGAACTTGCACAAACATTGACAGATGGAGGTGTGATGGATGAATTGATCAATGAAAAACTAGAGATGTTCAATACACGCTGGGATGAAGTACAACAGGAGGTAATCTATAAATGTTATTGGATGCACTGATTGACTTCTAATCATTCTTAATTTATGAGCGAGAGTCATATAGAGCAAAAAATACCATACAACACCAAAAAAACCTGCATTTACTAATGTACACAGAATACATTTTCTCTATATGTGTTTCCATTTATGTAATATCTGTAGTAATATTTGCATTTAAAAATGTAATCACTAGTAATTACTAGGTAAATGCAATTGCAATTAGAACAATGTACTGTATGTTGATTATATCATAAAATGAACTACCCTGTTTCCCCGAAAATAAGACAGTGTCTTATATTAATTTTTGCTCCCAAAGATGCGCTAGGTCTTATTTTCAGGGGATGTCTTATTTTTTCATGAAACCCCTTTTGATCTTCCTGTGTCATTTTGATTGTCCCCTCTGATCCTCCTGTGTCATTTTGATTGTCCCCTCTGATCCTCCTGTGTCATTTTGATGCCCCCTCTGATCCTCCTGTGTCATTTTGATTGTCCCCTCTGATCCTCCTGTGTCATTTTGATTGTCCCCTCCCTCATTTTGATCCTCCTCCTGTGTCATTTTGATTGCCCCCTCTGATCCTCCTGTGTCATTTTGATTGTCCCCTCTGATCCTCCTGTGTCATTTTGATTGCCCCCTCTGATCCTCCTGTGTCATTTTAAGTGATCCCCCTCCCCCCACCCCTGTGCCACTGAACACCTTCACCAGACACCCCCCCACCCCTTTATCAGACATTTCCCCCCTGGGGCCTGCCTGGGGACTGTCACTGGGCTGGCTGGGGCCTGGACCTGGGCTGGAGCAGGGTCTGCCACTGACTGAGAACCTTCAGTCATCATGAGGGTGGTGTCACCAGAGACAGACCAGCACTCACCACCTTTGCCGCGTCCGGTCCACTCTGATCCTCCTGTTCTTCTACACGCATCTCTCTCCCACTCACTCCGACCTCCGCTCCGCCTCCACACAGCAGTGACGTCACTGGTTGCTAGACGCCAGTCGGGGCGGCCCTAGCAACCAGTTTACGGTAAATTAATTTTCATTCTGAGACAGAGCCTAGGGGGGCCTTATTTTTGGGGGGATGCCTTATATTTCACTCAGAAGGAAACCTGTAAGTAGGTCTTATTTTCGGAGGATGTCTTATTTTCGGGGAAACACGGTAGAGAAAGACTAGATGTAAAATCTGTGCACTCTTTTGCAAACAGTCTAAACATTCGCTGGATCCACCAATAGTTGCTAAGTAATATCTCTTATACTACGGCAATATTACCATCAACTAGTTCTTAGAACAAGTCATGTCTTAGGCAACACAAATGTGGAAGCATAGATATGGGACTAAGAATAAAGGCTTTTCAGACTTGGCTTGTATGATGCAAAATCATTGCCAGTGACTGTAACTCCAAAGAAAACAAGAGTGAAGGTACTTTTTCATGGAGCACAAGGAGAAAGAACCCTTCTTCCTAAGTACTACCTCTATTATTATATTGTTGGCTGATATACCACGGACCTCTAAAAAAAACCTACTTTGTCCACAAAATCAATAATTTATGGGTAGCTTTAGAATTAAATACATATTGTAGAACCTCTGAATTAAGCCTGTTTACTGCAAAGGTTCATAGTCATATAGCAAGAGTAATGGATTATAATCTGTAGCCCTGTCGTCCATCCCACAGCCTAGGGGCCATATACTGTATGACCATTTGACAATTTATTGTGCACCCTTAAATAAATCTTTCTGAGAGAAATATCAAATTTAGCACAAGGTTCCAACCAGAAATACTGTCTGTATGACATTTTTATGTTCTTTCTATAGGGATGATTTGCTAAAACTGGAGATAGCAAAACCTGGTGCAGCTCTGCACAGAAATCAGTCAGCTTCCGTGTTTTTCTGTCAAAGCTTAATTGAACAAGCTGAAATTAGAAGCTGATTTTCTATCATGTGCAGCTGCACCACATTTTGCATTTGCCAGTTTTAGTAAATCAACCATGTGTTGGTTTTCTGTAAGTGTTCCAGTTTTCTCCAGCTGTTCAAAAACATACTGGTAGGTTGCTCCATTAAATATTAGAGCCAATATTTAAATTGATTAATATACTTTATGCCCACTCTCAATTTACTATCTTGGTCAATGGCCTCACCTCCCTGTCCTTTTCCTTCACCTGGGACAAGGGGCTAGGCTGCCCTTTTTCTGCTCTTCCCTTTGCAATAGCAATTGAGACTATTAACATTTGTAAAATTGAGACTTTTGGAGGCATTACCCTCTGGCAACTTAAAGCAAAACTGTGAGTAGCAGGCTAAGAGTGGAGACCACTGCTGGATCAAGAACCGGAGCCATGTTGGGTAAGAAGTCCCGCTGCTGGGTAGAAATCTGTCAGCCATTGTGGCAGTTTCACAGATTTATGGCATTTGGACATGTTCCCAAGCAGGGGCGGACTGACAACTCATGGGGCCCCAGGGCAATAGGGGATCATGGGGCCCCTGTGTCCTTGCCCAAAATCAAAAAAGCCTATGAAAAAGGTACCAGGGGCATCTCATGGGGCCCCCTACTGACCCCGGGCCCTCGGGCAGTGCCCAAGTTTCCAAATGGTCAGTCCGCCCCTGTTCCCAAGTGACTGGCAGGCTGAGGGAGTGCAAACAGCGGTACAAACCCTTTCTCCTTCTCTTGCTGTGTAGCCTCTAAAGTTTATGGGCCTGGAGAGCAGGTGATTAAGTGGCCATCTGACTGGAACATCACCTTCACTCCTGTGATTTTATTTTTTTTATTCCCCTTTTACCTGGTTTACTGTGTTATTTTCAGACCACATACATGTCTAGCAAATTCAGCTCTGTCCTGCTGTAATCCATCAAAGGCTGCTGAACTCCGCCAAAGACAACTATACTCTGCAACCTGTGCCACCATTCTCACTGGCCATGTGACATGCTATGGACATTATTCTTACCTAGGAAAGAACATAGTGAGTGCAGTCTGCTCTACCCCCCCCCCCCCCACAAAAAGAGTATGAAAACAATATTTTTCCCTTTAAGAGTTTGATTTGAACTTTGGATATCTATATCTCCTGATCTAATGATTCATTTGACATGTAGATTTTACTAAAGTTAACCTGTACTTGAAAGTATCTTTGCAGTCATATATTTATTTAAAGAGGACCCACTGTCAATCTGACAAATTCTAATTTAGGCACTACAATAAATGTTAGTACATTGCAATTAAAATTACATACAGGAGTTAGAAAAAACTGCTTTAAAAGTGACTGCAGAGCTCAAGCTCAGTCTTCACAGGACTGAGATTGAGCTCTGCAGTCTCTTTTGCAGCAGTTGTTTTTTAATTCCGGGTCACAATCCTGCGCAATGTCCTTTTGTCTGTTTCAGTCAGTTGGCCATGTCGACTGCGCTTATGCTTATCAGACCTTTTCCCCTAAAACTGTATATACCGTCATAACCTTTGATACTGTACTTTGCAACACGGCAAATAAATTGGCAACTTCAGTCACAGAGGCACCAACAATTTGCCCTATTTGAAGCTCAGTAAGCTCTGACACAACTCCGTATTGCTAGCAGTGCACGCCCACCCTGTTAAGCTAGGTGACTCCTAACACACCGGAAGTAAAACATGAAACTTGTAGCAACTTTCACTTCTGTAGTTCATGTAGTTTTTCCATTTTTTTGTTTAACCTCCTACTCTTCTACTCTACTTCTACTCCTCAACTATCTTGCTTGCAGCTGATGTCTTCCTCCTGCCTCGATTCTCCCTCACTGGCATGTTTATCCCTGAAGTAGTGGGAGTCACTTTCTTGGTGCCATGATGTTAGCAGTCAAAAAACAGTCTTGTTACAATGCTATGACAACAAATACACAAGATATAGGGAGAACAGGTAAAATCACCTGCGGCCTTCTGGGATGTATGATGTGGATATCCTAAATGGCTGTTTGTGGCCCAGTGTAAGTTATTCTTGCTTGGGCCAGATAAGAAAAGGTAGGAGAGTGGAAGAGTTTAAAAGGGTATTTAGGAGAAAAAAAGATAAAATACTAGAATTTTCCTAATATGCGGGGGATAAAATACTAGAATTTTCCTAATATGGGGGGGGGGGGGGGGGGGGAATTAAAGTTATGAAAAAGAAGAAATGTCCGTTTTAAGCAATAAATGCATTTGTATGCACGGAAAATATCATGATTGATTGTCACATTTAAGTGCCTGTACGGGGCAATAAATATCACTGCTGCTGTCATATACAGCAAGTTGAAATGTAATTAACTGGCACATTTTGTGTGTGGGAGGAAGTCTATTGGCATGAGAATGATGTTTATTTCTTCAGCACCAATGTTTTGACAAAAAAAGCTTTTCATATTTACATTATCAGTTGAACTTTGTAAGTTTAGAGATGCTCATCAACTCTACAATATAAACAAAGCTTACTCCATTGTAATTTGCGCCCAGTTCCTAACTGAAAGTCATTGTTGCTTTTAAAGAGGCAATTTCTTGTTCATACTGTGAATACACTGTGCTAAAATGTTTTCATTAGCATTAAAGTGGTTCTAAAGTCTAAATGTTTTTTTTTACCTTAATGCATTCTCTGCATTAAAGTAAAAAATGCCACATTACATGTCCCTCTGTCAATAAACACCTGAATCCATGTCATTCCACCACTGTCTCCAGCTCCAGCACTGTACCCCTCACTTCTTAATTTCACAGGAGAAGCTGAGAGTGGTGGAGACATAGGCTCCTGCTGCCATCAGTCATACTAATGTGAGCTGGGAGTGGGGATATGGCATTTCAGTGCTATGTGTCTATAGACACACACAGCCCAGCTCTGGACCAAGCAGGAGTGAACACGCATGGGTGCCTGTCTAGCACCCTGCCTGATACAGGAGGCACCCAAAGGAGAGAGGGGCCAACAGAACCAGCAGGGACTGTCAGAAAATGAGGCATTTCTGTGCAATATTGTTGCACAGAGCAGGTATATACAACATAATGTTTCTTAAAAAAAATATGCCTTTAGTATCACT